TGAATAGAAATTGGTTGCATTGATTCATCGTTCTCTGAATTCTTTAAGTACAACAACTTCGAGATCACTTAAAGCTCAGTAGGTGGCCTTGTAGGAATGTTGGAGTCTTCCTCCATGAAGTGATCTGTCAGAATAGAGAACCACAGTAGATAAGAAATGTACTTAACTTGCACCGAGTCATAATTTTTGGCAAACATCACGCCATAGACCAGCTTTAGAATGTACGTGAATGCTACAACGGTCATGGTCTGGTTGCTTTGATGATAAGCACTTATTGAGTATGGCAAACAGAGATTTCCATGGTCTGCGTAAGCGGTTGGCAATGAAGTGTGAGAAAAGGGTGAGTGGTGATAGATGACCAATCTTGAGCATATCAGATAAAAGATCTTGGTCAGCGGGAAAAGGGTCGTATTGGGTAGTCATGTGTAATTAGAGTAGGGTTCTAAGGGTATTATGGGTAATTTGAATGGTGGAGTTAGCTAGGGTGGCTTCAAGGGTAGGAATGGGAGCAGTGGTTATTGGATGCATAGTTTCCCAGAATTGTCTCAGGTAAATTTTGGGAACTTATACAAATAGGTTTAGGGTTGGCCATAGAGAGTGTCACTTCAAAATGGATACCATGATCATATCTTGGCATTTGAACACTTCTGGGTCCAGTTGATAATTGTTGTCCTTGATTTCAATCCAACTCTCCTTAGGATACACTTCTTCCTCAGAAATAAAGCCATTATGCCTGAATTGCACGGATAAAACAAATATTAGAATAAAGGCTATTGGGTCAATCAGTTAGGGCTTTTTTTTACTAGGCTTTGTAATTGGATCAATTGGGCTCAATGGGCTTAGATTTAGGTAATTGGGCTAAATAGTTTAAGTGGACCATAGATTGATTGGGCTTTTAAAAATTTGGGCTTTGAGGAACTCGGGTATGGGGATTTCAGGTTAAGAGTTACTACCTTCGTCCCTTAAAACTTTGCCAAAGTTGACCGGCACGGAGAATAATAAAGTAAAAACTATGTGGTTGAGTTTTGTGCAGATGAGAGAGAAATAACAGAAACCACAAAATAATTGATTAAAAGGGAAAGTAGAAAAGTTTTTTAGGACGTCCAAATCAGGAAAAATGGCAAAGTTTTAAGGGACGGAGGGAGTATTAGACTAAAGATCTCGGGTGGCCGATTATTTGGGAATCCAGGTGATGAAATTTTCATTAAGATCTCATAGGATAAGAACTCGGGTGAGAGATGTCGGGTGTTAGACTTCGGGTCGGTTTTTCATTTAAAGGATCTCAGGAGTGTGGCTTTTAGGATTTCGGTTTAAGAAGCTTGGGTGAAGACTTCATCTAAGGGATGTCGGGTGTTCGTATAGGTAACGATTTCAGTTGCCCGGTTTTTGAGATTTCGGGAGTTAGGAACTCGGGCTTCCGTTGGGCCAAGGATTTCGGGTCTGGACTTCGAATTGGGGATTTTGGCTATGTGAATTTCGAGAGGCTCGAATTCTAAAATACAAGATTCAAGAACACGGGGCTCAAGATTTTGATGGTTATGAACTCTGACAATGGTGATTTTGGGTTTGAACTTTAAAGTTGTTGTCAAGGTGTTGGGTGGCCTCAAGGAGAATCACGATAGCGAACAGGTTTCGGTGGTCGTCCGGCTTCCATCGTCGTGAACAAGACGATATCTGCAAAACATAATCAACACATGTGAACAATGAATAAAAAAATGAAATATTAACCTTGATGAAAATTTGGAAAAGAGAACGACGGAGAAGGGAATAAAACTTTTAGAGTGCTACAGAGTTTGAGCAAGAGGAGGAAGAAGAAGGTGAATCAAAAGAAAATTTTCGGTTCTCTTCTTAAGTACTCGGGAAAAGAAAAAAAAACTTTTTGACTTTTTCTGATTTAGAGAACTCACAAAAAAAAAACACTCAAAATAAAACAAATGTAAAATATTTTTGTGATTTTCTAAATTTAACAGAAAACGTATACCGATGAAAATAAAATACCCCTCAATTGTAGCACTCGAACCAGACAAAGTTTTGCCTCCCCCCTCACTAAATGTATGCACACTTTTAGTGAAACAAATTAAACGTCCAAAAAATTGACTCAATAAAATTGACACGACAGATAAAATAAATTACCCCCTACACTGGTGCGCATAATTAAAAATCATAATTCAGCATTCCTGATTTAGAAATCAGGAACTGAAATCTGTTCTCGTCCAAATCTTTTGTGAATAGATCGACCAGTTATAGCTCAGTGCACACGAAGTATAGGTCCACATGACCTTTCTCAATATGATCCTTGATGAAGTGAAATCGCAGGCCAATGTGTTTAATGCGATATGATGAACCGAGCTGCATGAGATATCAATCGCACTCTTTGAGTCACTGTAAATTGGTATATGGTCAAAATAAAATCCAAGTCGCGTAGTTGAGTCCTCATCCATAATACTTGTGAACAACATCTAGCAGCAACAACACATTCATCCTTTGTTGCAGATGTAGACTCACAATTTTGCTTTTTAGAGGACCAATATACCAATTTCTCTCCAAGAAATTGAGCACTTCCAGACGTACTCTTTCTATCCATTTTACATCCTGCAAAATCCACGTATGCAAAAGTTGTAACACCCCGGCCCCGAGGTAGTTACTTCTGACCTCTAGTATTGTCCTCATAAACCGCCACTAGCCTTTTCCGCGCACTTTGTCCTCACTCGTGCGCGCTCTGAGAAACTTTTCAGGGGGTCACCCATCCCAAGACTATTCTCGTGCAATCACGCTTAACTTTGGAATTCTTGACTAATGAGCTCCTCTAAAAGGAGACGGACCTTGTTGGTATGAGTAGTACTATTAATCCGTTTAAATTAAATCTCAAGTATTACAATCACCCCCACTTAGGAACGCAACGTCCTCGTTGCGCCCATTAACCAAACTCAATCATATCCCAGAATCTTTTCCCCTGCTAAGTGTCCGTCCGATATTCAACGAATCAGCACATTGTCACAGGGTTGCTCTGATACCATTTGTAACACCACGGCCCCGAGGTAGTTACTTCTGACCTCTAGTACTGTCCTCACAAACTGCCACTAGCCTTTTCCGCGCACTTTGTCCTCACTCGTGCGCGTCCTGAGAAACTTCTCAGGGGGTCACCCATCCCAAGACTACTCTCGTGCAAGCACGCTTAACTTTGGAGTTCTTGGCTAATGAGCTCCCTTAAAAGGAGATGCACCTTGTTGGTATGACTAGTACTATTAATCCGTTTAAAATAAATCTCAAGTATTACAAAAGCAATTAAGTCAAAACCAGATTCTTTATGATACTAAAGTCCTAAATTTGGTGCTCCCTTCAGATATCTAAGAATCCTTTTCGCAGCCAGTAGATGAGGTTCCTTTGGATTCGCTTGAAATCGAGCATAGAGACACATGGAGAACATAATATCAGGTCGGCTAGATGTCAGATACAGTAAAGAACCAATCATTCCACTATAAGTAGTAACATTGATTGGCTTTCCCGATGGATCAAAATCAAGCTTGCATGCTGGAGTCATCTGGGTGTTCATAGGGGTGCTATTCTCTGGACCGTACTTCTTTAGCAAATCATGAATATACTTGGACTGATGAACAAAGATTCCGTCAGACAGTTGTTTAACTTGCAGTCCAAGAAAAAATTCCATTCACCCATCATGCTCATTTCAAACTTTAATTGCATCAGACTTCCAAATGCAGTGCAGAGAGTGGGATCCGTGGAACCAAATATGATGTCATCAACGTAAATCTGAATCAGATGTGATAGAGTAAATGTCTAGAGAGAAGTGAGAGCTAGAGAGAGAAGTGCAATATATGCTTCAATAGAATGAATTTGTAACCCTGATAACTACCCCAGAGGAAGTATTTATAGGGAAAATACGGGCTGGGCTCCCAAGCCTTGGGCTTGGGAGGCCCATTTACAACTGGACCGCTATTGGGCCGAATACAAAGCCACTAATGGGCTATACAAATGAATAAGTATAAGATCCGGTTCTTACCCTTTTCAACCAATGTTTAAGTTTTCTTGAGAAAACATAATGATTGCATCATTATGTATATAAAATACTTTTGACCAAATAAAAAGAAACTGTAAAAAGTGCTAATAGTTTAAGCATATTATAATTCTTGCTGTTTTCTATGAGAAAAGATGGTGGACTTGTGAATGTTGTATATGTTGGGTAATTTGCACCCCACTATTGAGGATCAATGATAAAAATAACAGATATAAATTTACTTGATAAGGTTACTTATTGGGTTTTGTATTTTTTTTTGTAGCTTTGATGATGTTAGAATTCCTAGGAATACCTTTGCCCCCCTACTGCTGACGACAATTTCTGGAGAGCGTGGACTTATGTTACGGTCTAGAGCAATAACATTCTTGTTGAGTTGGATAATTTACTTAGTGGGTTGTTCACATTATATGTATAGATAATTTACTCTCTTCCCATTCCAAAGATTTGAAAAACTTGTTTCATGTATAATTGTCATTGGGCATTTACCTAATCACGCAACGCCCATGTAAAAAACTAGTATTAATATGTATACAATGTGTACACATTGGTATACAATATATATGCATGCAAGGGTGTTATATCTATTTTGCATGTTATATTATTATCCATTAAAGACAATCCTTTGGAACCTTGGGAAACGTAGGAACACAGCTTTTTTCCATGATTATCTTATGAGTAATCCCGAGGCTATTGTCTGAATCAACAAGGACCTCCATGATTTTCATGGTTGGCGAAATCACCCAAGGGAAACAAGAAGAGAAAAGACAATATTTATAGATGGTTGCCCCCCTTGTGATAAATTTTATGTCAATATTTCCGTTACTCAATCTGGTATGAACTTTAAAAGTGGGGTTGCTGTTCGTAATCACAACGGTGACTTAGTTTTTCACCTTCATGCTGAATATTTTGGCACCAATCCCTTCACTGCATTTTTTGAAACAATTCTCATAGCCATCAATGCTTGCAGGGTAAGGTCTCTAAGAATCCACAACTTGGACCTCAAGAACAAACATGTCAAAAGGCCATCCAGCAACATTGCAAAGACCATTGGGATCACATTGATACGATAATGAGAATTACGTATATCTTGCATCAAGATTACATTTACATTAACGTAATCCCTGAAAATACCAATGTGGTTGCTAGATATATTGGCCCCGGGATGGATGTGAAATCTTCCCATTTCTTGAGGATTCTTAAGTTTGATGCAATCGGTTTCCCCTATGTTGTTTAACATTCCTGGTAGTAGGCTTTGGTTGATGTTCTCCTACACCGTTTTTTATTCCCGTATTCTACTCTAATAAATTATCTTTTTTGAAAAAAAACTACCCATTAAAGATGGTAGTTATTACATATATAGTACCATCATATAAAAAAAGATCTGTCATTTTGACTTTACTTGGTCAACGATGATAATGCGTGGATAATGATTTTAATTGCTGTATTTGTATGTATTTCATAAATTTTAGGGGTTTTCCTTTAAATATTACCAATAAAAAAGTCACCTTCAAGGGGTTATTACCAATATATCCTTCAAGGGGTTGCATATTCACCTTCAGGATAAGCGGGCTTTATTCTCTATCGATGAAATGATAGGAACTCCCCTTAAAGTGGATGTTGCAACGACAAACCTAACAAGACCCTCTACGGCTTGGGTATGTGTAGAGTTGGACCTACTCAAAGAGCTTTCGTTGCTTTATTCCCTCCCCATCCCCCTAACAAGACCCTCTGCAGCTCAAGTATGCATAGAGTTAGACCTTCTCAAAGAGCTTTCGTTGATTTATTCGCTATCCCTTCCCCTCCCCCCTCCTCCTCCTCCTCCTCGTATGTCTTCTCTTTTTTACACCGATATCATGGATCGATTCATGTGAGCCGACACCAGTTTCAAATGTTGAGTACTTACTGATTGAAAATTGGTGTCGGCTAACATGATTGGTGAATGATGGAATTGGTTTCCGAGAAGTAAAGATTTCCTCCTTTGATAACCGTTTGAAATGTTTGGCTGAATAACCTTAAGGGGATAAGTGACACAAACGTCATCACAAACAGTATAGGTTGAAGCTTTAAATCTCTTCTGTTTATATTTACCATCATTCACATCACAATGATGTTCAGTAGACTTAGCCTTTTGTTTAAGTTTCTCAGGTTTTATAACCTCTGCATTAGATGAGAAAACACACAGCCAAAATCCTGAGAAGAATAGTGTGTGACAAAGCTAAACAATTGACAACTTAAACTTGAACTTTCTTTAAAAGTTCTCTTTTGAACAAAAGAGGAGGGGGAGACTGTGTCTGCATTTGGGGCATTTTTGAGAAGAGAAATGTCGTTTAAAATTTGTTCTTTTTTGTTCTGAAAATCTCTCTTTTAGTTTCCAAAGTTTTGTGCAAGTCTGCAATTTTTATGGATGACCTTTGGAATGTAATCATTTTAAGTTTTAAGTTTTTCATAAATAGGTTGTTTCCCTTCAGACACAAACTCAGACTCGCTTGCTTTGGAAAAAGTGATGCATAATTATGAGGGAATTTCCCTTGTCTTATAACTAGCATTCAGTTGATTGTTGTCAAATGAGATTTGAGCCTCACGAAGGATAAGTTTCGTCAATTTCTTTCTCTCTTTTCTTTTTCTTTGGCATCAATTTCTAACGCTCCCACGAAGGATAAGTTTCGTCAAACCCAAGCCCATGTATCGAATGTCATACAGTTGAGCGCACTTGACTTTCTTCAAGTTGCATGGGTTCTGGAAACCTAAACCTTTCTTGGGATTGTAGAAAGTGGTGTCTTTCGGCTGATCTAAGAAAATGGTTTGATCTGTTTGACCTCTCTTAACAAGTAAGTCATCCAACTCCTTAATCTTAGAATATCATTTGCAACGTTCAGTTTGAAGATGTTCAAAATTGGTTGTTGTGATACATGCAAGATCAGGAGCTTTCAATCGCTTAGTGAAGTCACACACTCGTGCTTCTGAGTGTTCTAATTTAGTTTTAATCTTTGTGTTCTCGTTTTGTTCTCTACATTGGTTAAACAAACCGTGAGAAAATATTGTTCAAGAAGTGTTTTCTCAAGACATTTTCATTTTTGGCAAGGAGGGGCTTCTAATTCCTTAATTACACGATCATCACTCAAGGAAGAAATTTTATCCTCTGATGAACATATTTTTTCAGAAAAAATAGAATTGGAAGAGTTCACCCTTAACTCATCATTTGACAATTTAGCACATTGAATATTACACCATGTTGATGAGTTGGGAGAGGCATCCATGTTTGATTGTTGAATGTTGATCATTGATACGAGGTTGATTGAATTTTCCACAAGTTTCTGGACCTAGAAGTGTAGCTTTGTCCTTGAGAAAAGATGGTCTTAACCTTGAGATTTTTTTGGGAATTTTCCTTAAATCTCTAGGTCGACTCTTGGAAACTTTGATCGTAGTGTTGACCTTTGATGTTGGAGTTTTGACCTCAAAGTTTGAATTGAGCTCAAAACTAGCTCTTGAAGTTGGTGGATAAAAAGTGCACTTTTCAAGTTCAGGAATGAGGCAAGCTAGTTAACTTTTTCCACACCTAAAATCCTTGAAAAGTTTCTAGCTTATATAAATGAACCACTTATTCTTTATGAGTAAATGGAGAATGAGAAGAGGGGACCTCTCACGGACATGAGATTTCGGACTGTACTTCAAAATCGAAAATTTGCCCCCCCTACACGAGCGTCCTGCAGACACGATAGCCAAAAAATTTAGCGAGTCTCATAAGACAATTTTGCCCTTTCTTTTCTTCTTCCTTTTTCGGGCGCGCTAAGTGTATTTCCACTGCTGAGTCAGGCGATGCGCTGAGTGCACAAAGTTAAGTTAAATGCGCTAAGTTTATATCATCATGCACAATGTTCCATGATGCGCTAAAGTTGACGGTTCACAGAAAATGTTTTTGATGCGCCAAGTTTATTTCTACGCTCGCGCTAAAGTGAGTAGAGGCGCAAACGTTAGCGCATGTTATGATGCACTAAATCTTTGCGCTAGCTCAGTTAGCGATTTCTAAATAGCTTCACACGTGAGTGGCAATGTGCTAAGTCCTGTGGCTACGTGCTAACTAACAATTTATTGCAATATAAGGACTTTTCCAGCGGAATTGAAAATACACTTTGCGACCATAAAGTCACCGGAAAAGATGTCGCTCACATTGAATTGTCTGCCGGAAAACATACTTTCCGATGGAAAAATCCTTAAATTGCAAAGATTTATAGGTATATGAGCAAATTTACAACCAAGTAAAGTTACATAACTAATAACAGACGCACCCGAAAGTTTTGGACTAAAATTGAAAATAATGTAATTGAAAGGAAAATAAATGTGAAAAATATATCAATTAGTTTTTAATCATTACCTCTTATGTTTTGAATACACTCACATTTTTATCGCATACTTATCAACAAAAACTATTTTTTTATTAAATAATCATTTTTATAAGGAAAACTAATAATTACATTGCTATTATTAAATAAATATTATATTCACTTGATTTTTTGAAAATTAAATTAATATATTTATATGTTTTTAAATAAAAATCACTATTATCACTAAAATAAATTTATATTGTATAAAAAAATTACTGTGTTTTGAAAAATGTATATATATATATTGTGCATATGAGTAAATATGTACGGATATGCAATAAAATTAGTTAAGTTAGTTTTTAAAAAAAGTTATACAAACTACATTAGAATTGTCCCAAACCAGGATAAAGGAGGAGGGTGTTGTGGTAGTCGCGTGACGGTCAACAATATCACTTAGTCACATCACATGACATGAATCGAAATATGAATATCGCTGGCATCGATATCATAAATTGATTCATGTTAGCCGACCCCAAATTCTTTTGGGATTAAGGCTTGGATGTTGTTGTTGTTGTATTATTGGTCATCCGTGCATTGCACGAGTTTGAAATATATAGCATATAAATTGAATAAAACGTGAAATATATAAAACATTTTAAAACATGCGTATTTTTGTGTAGCAGAATATACAAAGTACTTCAAAATACGAATGAATGTTTTTCACATTATATGTCCCGTTTTCTTGAACTATCTCGATAAAGCTTTCAAACACACGCCATTAAATTAAATATTACAAAATATTTAAATTATACGTATTCTCTCTAAATGACATGATTAATTTCTTTGTAGTTTATTTGCAAGTACAATGAATTTAAGACTAAATTACAACTAGGGATGGCGATGGGGTGGGGTTAGGGGCGGGGGTTCACGTACTCCCCCATCCCCCGCCCCGTGTCTAGAAAATCGCCCCACCCCGTCCCATCCCCCACTACTATTCGACCCGCCCCATCCCCTGCCCCGACCCGCTAGACCCACGGGTACCAACGGGGGAAATATTCATCAAAAATTAACACTATTTTAGACTCAGACATTTTTTCAAAAATCAAACTCTTCTAGTGTGTAGCCAAAAAACCATTTAGTTTTACGCGTCAATGTAATCTTACATCCCATTTCAAATCTAGAACACATTATACACGTTTTGATTTAGTCATTTTATCAAACACTTTATTAACATTGATTAGTTTACAATGTTTTCGTAATCCCTTCATTCAATCAACCATGGTCATTTGACAGCATGTAGGACGACCTATGGTCACCATATTTTTAAGGCCCTAACTACAATCATAAAGATGACATCCATAAGAAAAGAATTAATGCACTATAATAGTAAAAGAAGAAAACATTCACACTGTGCTTGAGACATTTAAGCTAATACGGAGTATCACTTTATAACTTTCCCAAATTCATTTTACTTTATATGATTTTTATAACCAATTTTACAAGACAGCTCAGTTATTATACAAGAATTAGATAGACCCAGTAGGCACATCCCATTAGGTAGGAAACAACTAAACCCACCGGGCCACCATTCTATTTTAATTACTTCGTATTAGTAATTACACATTTATGACTAAAATGAAGTTTGTCTACAAAAATGTGACTAGTGATTAGATTAGTAATGAAATTATAGTAACTTATGTTCAATTTTTAAACTTAGGTTACTGTGACTCTACATCGTAGTAACTAATAGTCATATTTGTGTAAAATAAATTTTATTTTAGTAATATTTTTGTAAAAAACCCTTATTATTAGTATTAATACTATGTGATTATTATTACTCCCTCCGTTCCCAAAAGTACTTCCCACTTTCCTTTTTGGACCGTTCCCAATAATACTTCCCACTTTCCCGTTTTGGACAATTTGTGTGGCTCACATTCATTTTACCTTTTTCTTACACAACTACAACCATACATTTTCACTTTATTTCACTTTCTTAATAAGCGCGCCAAGTCAAACCGGGAAGAATTTTTAGGAACGGAGG